TCATTCTCACCTAAATTATCACATAGCGTAAGCTCAAGCTCCTCAAGTAGTGGAAACTTCTTTACTGCTGCTGAAAATCCTTCATCAAGGATATCAAAACAAGAGATGAGACGAAGACTCTTCAGACATGGTGCCCTGCAAAGATAGGACAAGGACATCAATAAAAGATAAAAGGAATATGGTGTACAACAGTACAAGAAGTAACTAGCAGTCTAGTCCCCCATTCAAGTCTTGGTAAATTTGTAGTTAGCTGCAATCACAGTTCCTAACAGATCATGTGTAAAAGATTCTGGCACTTTAGAGAATAATAATCACACATCATCACAATTATAGCATTTACAAGGCAAGTGAAATGGAATTCTCTTAATTGCCATATTTGGTCTGGAGAATTTGAATTATTAATTAAATGTTGCAATAGCAGGCTAGCAGCATCAAACATGCATGAAGTCTGCTGCATTTGTTGAGTTTCATTTGTCAGATAATAATTTGTAATCTCCAATAGAAAAGTTCTCTTCTGAATATATTCTATTTTGAATCCAACTGAAGTATGTACCTTTTCTCATAAACTATTGTCAGGAACCTTATGATCATAGCGGCATCACCCCACAAACTGATACCACCACAGTTTGTTAAGACCTTTTAAACACACACGGACTTTGCAAGGTGCTGCATATTACCCTGTCATTTGTGAATATATGATGGTAGCTAAATGCAAAGTCAAGGTGAATTCAGTTCATAAAAACACTGAAACTTGAGGCAGTTTCAGATATCTGCCAATAATTGGATATTTTTAGTGATGTACCAACATGTTCTTGATAAGTTATCCTTTCTAAATCATAGAATCAAATGGCAAAAATCCAAAGTCACCTATTAGCATTTGACGCTCACTTGCTTTCTTGTGAGGCAATTATTACTAAAGTATCAATGCAAAAGCTTTTCTATTGTACACTTCATTGCCAAGATAACAAAGTTATCCTGCTATGGCTTCCAAAACAGATATGAGTGTAGGAATCAAACAGACTCTTACATGAATCTATATGAACTCAAATCAGTGGCTATTGACATAATTCTGACAAAAGATCATTCGACAATGCAACACAAAATAAAAATCAGGGGCACTGAAAATATCAAACCAGATATAGCATTGACTGCAATTTCTGTTATTGGTGTATGTTCATCACCCACAAGTGATCTCAATATCTACCCAAATGCACTGCAACTAATTAAGATGCATTTAGTAGTTGGTACCGAATAGAACACATAATTAAACCGTGATTAGAAGCATAGATGATACAGTCAACCAAGAGTCCTACAATATTCTATTACATCCATCAATTTGAACAAGAGCAGCACATATCAGAACAAAGCTGACTAGAAGAAACCAGAATTCAGAAAGCACAATGCCGCGATCAGCTTACCAGAGAACGAAGTCGAACAAGATTATATAGAACAAACTAAAAAAAAAGATTCTTCTGAAGATTGGGGGAGAACAAAACTCACCGATCTCCGAGGAAATGGAGCAAATCTTCGTCGGCGCGTACTCGCCCCAGAAGGCCTCGCACTGCCCCGCGCTGCGGCGCACAGCGGCCTGCGCCATCCCGAAGAGGTTGAGCTCGAAGGAGAGTTCGGCGTGGTTGAGCATGTCGATGCGGCGCCACAGCTGGGGATCGTCGCGCGCGGCGCGGCGCCAGGCGCGGCACACCTGCCCGGCCCCCATCAGGATCTCCATGTGGTCGAGCTTGCGGAGCACGGCCAGGATCGCTTCCCGCGGCAGCCCCGCCGCCCAGTCCCTGCGCCCGCGCCCGCGGCCACGGCCACGGCGGCGACGGCGTCGAGAGGTGGTGGACGAGGGAATCGCGGGGTTAGGGTTAGGGTTAGGGCTCGGGAGAGCGGCGGCGCGCGGCGCGAGGCGGAACTCGCGGAGGATGTCGGGAAGCGGGTCGTACGGCAGCTCAAGCTCCGCCCGGTCCGTCGTGTCCTCCTCCACCTCCGCCTCCGGCTGCGGGTCGTGACGGTTGCCGCGGCCGCGTCGGCGGCGGCGCCGGCGACGGCGAGAGGCGGTGTCGGTGGTGGTGGGGAAGGAGGGCGTCGCGAGCTGGGGCTGGGGTTGGGGCTCGGGAGGGTTAGGGTTTGAGAGAGCGGCGGCGCTCTGGGCATCGCGGAGCTTGCGGAGGATGTCCGGCAGCGGGTCGTACGGCATCTCCGCCTGATTCCCCTCTACCTCCGGCTGCGGATCGAGAGGAGGCATGTCGCGGTGGCGCCGGCGACGGCGAGAGGCGGAGGGAGGAGGAATGCAGCGCGGTGGAGGTGGAACGGAGGGAGGAGAGTTTGAAAATTGAAATTTGGAAAGCTCGTGTCAAGGGAAGAGGACTGGGAAATGGGGAACAGGATTGCAACAGAGGGTTGCAGAAAAAAAAATACAGGAAAGATCGTTTTATTGGCCGCAGAAAAACGCAAGAATCGAATGAGAGATATAAACTTAAAAGAAATTTTATAAGAGGTTAGTGCTCTTGCTAATTTTTCTCCAAAATCCACATGCAATGAGTTATTCCATAAGAATTCCATATGATTTGGAAAGCTTCAATCCTTTGAATCAAATGGCCAAATAGAAAAATTTTCTATAGGATTTAAATCCTATAAAATTCCTACGTAAATCCTTTCAAAAAGGCTCTCAATGTGGTTCTTTTTCAGCATTGGTTTTTAAGTCGCTAAGAACACACACACATATATATATATATATATATAAAGTTTACCTATAAATTAAACTTTTATTCCCTAATATGGGCAACCGACGAGTGTCTTCGGTGATTTGCTGAAGGAAATTGCTATCCATATGATTCAACTATTTCGACTCACGTACGACTGAATTTTATCGACGGTTGTAAAAGACTATAGTGCATATGAAAATATTCTCCTTTGATTGATCTATTGTTGTATGTTTCTAGACTTTAGTTGTAATTGAGTTGTACAACTGGATCGTACATATAGCAATACCAATTATCGATGATATCTCCTGATTATAATATAATCCGGTTGTTTAAGAAGAGTCTAACTATTTACTCTCATATATAACTTAGCCATTTTAGTCTTTATTTTTATATATAGTCCGCTACTGAACAAAACAGATTCTAAAAACACACGACTAAAAAAATAAATAATAAAAATATCACGTGTTATTGAAACCTATATGAGTTTAAAACACACAAATTTGAAAAACATTTATTTGGATAACTCATGTAGAAGAACACGGGAATTTTGATGGAATCTACCGAGAGAAGAGAGACTAACATACCGAGATGAGGAGTAACATGGATTGGACTTTTCAAAGAAAAAATAAAATATGCTTTGAGCTCATATATAAATTTCATATGAAATTGAGGTATAGAATTACAAAACTTGGGTTTAACTTAAATCCGGTCTTATGTTACAAACAAGCAAGTTAGAAAACTTTTGCAGAGCTAGGCCTTGTTTATAGTTTATTACTAATGCAATGCTCAATATAATCTTGATTATATGGTAAGAATTCAATATTGCCAAACCTTTTGCAGAGTATACTCGTTTAGTGTTATTAATAGATATTTTTATTACACAGCAAATACACACTATTATACACACGCGATGCCACACATGCACCCGCGAATGCATCCCTTACACACTCAAAGAAATAGAAAACATCAGCACATCTCTAATCTCACTAAATTTCTATCAAAAACCTATTCATGTGCGAAATATTCACCAGTATTTGAATCCTGGCATGTGAAGTCCACCACACACAACCGGTGCTTCGGCTTCCCCTTATTAAATATTGGAAGAGCATTGGTGTTAGTTATGCGTTTTTTTGGTGGGGTTTACCTTACCATTTTGGTGAGGGTCAGTAGCAGTATCACCACGAAAATTGTGAGGTTCCAAAGACTGAGGATATTATCATACCACATGTGTAACCGTGACGATAATATGGATCACATAAATATTGCAAAACCTGGTGGGGGTTGGTTGTTGTTAAGTTGGATTTGCTCGCTAGTGTTATTTGGAGTATTTACATATTTTTTTTAGCACTAATCACATATTCTCTCCGTCCAGTCCCAGACCAAACTAATAGAACGAATCTAGTTGTCCAGATTCGTTATGCTTGTGTGTTGTAACAGGATACGAGGAAACTTGTTTAATTTTCTTGTAACAGAATCTAGGAACATATGGTTCATTTTATTTTCTCGGTTCGTTAGTTCCTTTACACCGTTTTTTTCTTCTTTGGATTGGTTTTATATACGTACGTGCGAATCAGAGAGGGATGGGGATGAGTACGATTGCGCTTTTAAACATCAAATTGTTTCAATATGGATAATAGAACCAAATACTCCCTTAATTATTCAATAGATGACATTATTAACTTTTGAATGAATATTTTACCTATTGTCTTATTTAAAAATTTTATATAAACACATAAGATACAAATCGTGCTTAAACTACTTTTAATTGAAAAAAACTCACAATTCTAAAAAACAAAACAACTCAAGGGTGTGATTAGTTTTTTTGGGTGTAAAAACTTTAAAGCATACGGACATACATTTGAAGTATTAAACATAAACTAATAACAAAATAAATTACATATTCCGCCTGTGAACTGCGAAGCGAATTTATTAAACCTAATTAATCCGTCATTAACAAATGTTTACTGTAGCATCACATTGTCAAATCATGGCGTAATTAGACTCAAAAGATTCATCTCGTAATTTATATACAAATTGTGCAATTGATTTTTTTTTCTCACATTTAATGTTCTATGCATGTGTCCAAACATTTGATATGACTTTTTGTCGAATCTTTTTTTATCTAAATAAGACCTATGTAAAATTTTAAATAAAACGAATAGTCAAAAGTATCCAAAAATCAACGGCGTCTTCGGTTAAAAAGAGAGATTGCATGCCATGTACCATATTTTACACAACTATACGAAACGGATTTGTATTTTTTTCGAAACAGCCATCGATCTCACAGTCGGGATCGAGATCTCTTGACTAATCCAAAACAGTAAACTAGTATTATAAAATATAGTCGGAGTTTCGCTTGAGAGTCGAGAGACTCCGAATTAAAGGCCCGAACGCTCTCCAGCCTCTAAACCCTCGCTACACGAAGTTTCCGGTGCCGCCGCTGCCGTCCGCCGCCCGCCACCCGTCGCCGCCGGCAGACGCCTATCCTGCCGCCGGCGAAGGTATATATCTCGCTACGTTAAGGATCCTTCCGTAAGCATCCAAGCATATGGATGTCTTAGCTTTCTACGGCAGGAGGATGAAATCAGTTTTTTTTATTAATTATTAATCGCGCCTCCTGTATGAAATTCAGAGATTAGCACGATCAGTGTGATATTAAGACCTCCCTTTAGTTACCTTTTTTTAGTTGGATGTTTCTTGTAGTTAGGATTTTCGATCAGGTCTTGGTTAAATCGGATTGCTGCCTATTTGTGCATCGATCTTTCCAGTACATCTTAAAATTCCCCCCTTTTCTTTTCGTAAGCAGCAGCCAGAGATTTTCTTTGGGGTCTCAAATAAATGGTTGTAGAAATTGAGCATAGCACCAAAACAAATTTATTTAGATTTGTAGTTGGTTCCGTGTAAATTATTTGATGACCCTAGCTAGTTCTTCCTATCAAGTTATTATATCATTTGGTATTTGAAGAAGTGTCTCTATTGGATCCATCATGTGATGATTTAATTTGTTTTCGTGATTATAAAAGACCTGAGTTTGATCTATAAAAAAGAAAAAGCAGTTCGGAACAATCATCCGTATTGCTTGAGGAAGTGCACATAGACCTTATGCTAGTTTAAACTTTCCACTTTTTTGAGTTATTTTCCCCCCAAATATGATGCCTCATTTGGTGATACACATTATATTTATAGGTGCTACTTGACACTATGGAGGTGAAGCCAAGCCCATTGCCCATGTTACCTGTCAGAGATTGGTCCGATCTCCCAACCGATGCGCTTTCTACCATTTTCATGAAGCTTGGGAGCATTGAGGTCCTGATGGGTGCAGGCCTTGTGTGCCATTCATGGTTGGCAGCTGCGAAGTCACCTGAGCTGTGGCGTTCCGTGGACATGACTCGTCATAAGGTGGTTTTCTCAAAGGGCATAGACACCATGTGCGCGATGGCGAAGGTGGCTATAGACCGCTCTCAAGGAAAGATGGAGTCATTCTTGGCTCAGAAGTTTGTTACTAGCGAACTCTTGGATTACATTGCTTGCAGGTATAATTTTACATCCTATATACCGAATTTCAGTCCTTGGCTTTAATAGCCTGGCTCATGTTAACAGGGTTTAGCACTGATGCTACTTCGATGATTTGTTCTCAGATATGTAGTTTAATAGTAGCTAGATCTTGTGAAGTTCAATTATGCAGTAACATGATATCCACCGTCAAGTTAGGTTTACGTATTTATAACTAATGGACTTTTAAAAAAAGAACCCAATCTCCCACTGATTATTGTGTATGCATCGCCCCGACTACATGGTGTGGAAGGAAGAAAGTGTGAGCTACGCGATTTGAAATATTTAGGGGCTTCTTAGTTCTTACTACACGATGTGGTTGGCACTGTACTCCTTACATGATAAATATCACTGTTAATTTGATTGCTGTCCTTCTGTGTTTAAATCTGCAGGGCTAGTTCTTTGAAGAGCATTCGGCTCATCGCTTGCAGAAATTTTTGGGAGCCATCATTGGCTGAACTTGCAACCCAATGTCCACTGTTAGAGGAGATCGAGTGCTCAGGAAACAAAATGTCTTCAGAATTTCTCGTATATGTTGGCAGGGCGCGCCCACAGCTGAAACGTCTAAAAATCCATATGCGGTGGTTTGATGAGGATGCAATGGAGAGTGAGATGGAGCATGAAATGGAGCATGAGATGATGCATGACGATGATGATGACGAGGAGGAGGAGGAGGAGGAGGAAGAGGAAGAGGATGAGTTCTTATACGAGGACGAGAATGTTGATGACGATGAGGATGAGGGGGAAGAGGACGAGGAGATCGAAGAGGATGAGGACGAGAATAATGATGATGATGATGAGGAGGAGGAGATGGAAGAGGATGAGGACTTGGATGAGGACAAGAATGATGTTGTAGAGGAAGAGGAGGATGAGGACATGGATGAGGGCGAGGATGATGAGAATGAAACTAATGAGGAATGGGAGGTAAGGAAGAACAAGGATGCCTTTGCGATAGCGGAAAACATGCCTGAGCTACGACTTCTTCAGATTTCAGGTAACAACCTGACCAACAAAGGGGTTCATGCCATCCTCGATGGCTGCCCCCACCTCGAGTGTTTCGACCTCTCCGAGTGCTACAATGTCAGAGTCGATGATCAGCTCCGAGCTCGCTGCGCAAAGATCAAACATGCCTGGCTGCCCAGGCAATCGCCTCGCGTTCACTGCCCTGATCTCCGTGTCATCGAGGAGGACGAAGGTGAAGACTATGGCATCACTATGCAAGATCTATGGGAAGCTGAGGTTGAGACTCTGGAGGCCGAGGCCAAGATGGAGGAGGGTAGCTATGGCGACTATTATGAAGACTACTCTGCCCTCTCATCCCCTGAGTCTTGCGTCGACTCAAAGGATGTATATTGTGATGACCCCAATGTTTACACTATGTACCATGACTACTATTCTTTGTGATCTTTTTATAACCTTGTTTAACCGATACAGGATGTGCCACCGTTTAGTATTTTGAGGTTAATTGGAATTGTTACAGTAAGGCTATGTGTGTGTGTCTATATATATATATATATATATATATATATATATATATATATATATATATATATATATATATATATATATATATATCCTGGTAAGCTTTTGCTTTTGCTGGCAAGCTTGTGTTGCTTGTATGACCTTGTGAATTTGTCGCCTTTATTAACTTGCTATTACTATATGATAGCTGGATAGTCGTTGCATCTGTTATTGGACATGTGAGTAGAAGCAATGGTTGGTATTGACAGTGTTCTCATGAGCTGCCCTATTGGGATGTACTGATGAACCGTCTGAAATGATGATTGAAATTGAAGAAAAACAACGATCAAATCGGGCGGTGGAAGAAGAGTGAATGGTATGGACAATCGAGGTTGCGTTAAACTCCCAAGTTTCGAACTAGTATTTTGCGAGAATTTGTTCAAAACTAAAAAAGAAAAGGGCTCATGGGGCCCTCTCGTATTCAACACCGTGCAGTGGCCATGTTCGGCAGGCTGTGGCTTTGCCACACTGATTATATGGAGTTGTTGCAGCTAGCGCAGTCCCAGGTTGGGCAGCCAAACAGGCTCCACATATATTTGGGTGGCAGTGTATCCTAAAATTTAGGATTAATTCGATCCTCACAAATATGCGGTTTTCAGATAAATGATATTGCAATCCGTCTATTCATAATCGTACTACTGAAATTTTACAAAATTGAAACCGTGCCACTGCCGTTACATTTTTCATCCATCTCCTTATCTGCACGTGGGACCCACATGTCAAATTCATCTTCTTCCTGCATCCCCCAGTCCTCCCCCCCTCCGCGGCGGTAACCGGCGGCGACGGTGGAGGAGAAGCAGCGACGGGGTGGCAGGAGCAGAACCCTCGACCGACGTGCGGACCGGTTCAGGGCGCTTGCTTTGACGGGCACCGGAGGTGTCCCTCCCCTCTCGCGCGCACTGCCAACCTCCCTCGGCGATGACGTCTTCTTGTCACCGTTGCCCGCTATGGGCATCTCCTTGCCAGTGAGCACTTCACGCCGATTGCTCTCCCTCACATCCTTGCTCGCCATTCGGTCGCCTCCTCATCGCCGCCGCTTCTTGCTCCACCGTCGTCGCTGTCGCCGCTTGCTCCACCACTGACGCTGCCACGTGCATGACGAGAGCCCCAGCGCTGGCGCTGTCGAAGCTCGCACCGTCCATGGATGGATGGGAAGAGAGGAGGAAGAAAACGGAGATATAAGAAGATGGATGGAGAACGTGACGACAGTCGCACAGTTCTAATTTTATAAATTGCAATGGCATAGCTACAAATAGACGAATTATAATGACATTTTTCTGAAATGACATATTTGTAATGGCATAATCGAATTAATCCTAAAAGTTATCTACTGAAACTTAGCATGTGCCAGCCCATTATCTCCCCTGTAGCTACGGTTATGAACCGTTGTGGAGCCTCATCGGTTGGCATAGTAAGCTAAAGCAAAAGCTAAAATTTAAATTTTCAAACTTAAATTTAAAGTTGATTTTAACATATTTTCAATGTAATTTTTCTAGCATTGGCTTTTAAATCACTACGAACAAATATATAAAATTTTTATCTACAAATTAACTTTTATTCCCTAATAAGCCGTTTTGACTTATAAGGAAATATGGACGACCAACGAGCCTCGCGCTTATTAGCTACCAAAGTAATTTATAGACAAAGATTTTAAGGTGTTCTTAATAACTCAAAAGTTTATGCTAGAAAATAAACTATGATTAGAAAATCAAAATAACTTTTTTTTTCTGCAGCTAATAAGCTCAAGATTAAACAATGAGACTAGATACCAAAAATTTTAGGAAGGTATTCAAGTAAAAAAAGAGCGAATGAAGAGAAAAAAAGTCATGTTTGTTTGGGTATTTCATATTTACATATCATTCTCAATATACAAAATATATTTAAAAAGTATTTCATTTCCTACACAATCAAAAAGCAAGCCTTGGATTAAACCACTGTGGTAGGGTAAAAGTGTCAAAACAAATAGGAATCCGGAAGGTTCTTCCACTGACCAACTCGAGAGGGGGATAAAAATGTGAAAAATGGCAAAAAACAAACCAGGCCCCTTCACCTTCAGTGTCTAGCTAGCATCGGAGTTCCTTTGCTCCAAACCCTTGCTACACCACCGTGTTGCCCGGAGCAGAAGAGGCCGCCGCCGCGTAGCTCGCCGCCGGCGAAGGTAACTGATCACCTAGCTGCGTCAAGGATCGTTCCATTCCGTTCCCTATTCTTCGAAAGGTGCCGATACCCTAGTTTCCTATTCCTAGTGTTCCGCATGAGTGGTGAGAAGGGGGAGATTGATTTTTTACTACTAATTTCTGCGGTCAAAATCCAGCAGATTTCCCCCTTGTTTATTGTGACTAGGTCTCTATAAGTAACTTATGATGTTGAAGAGCATACCTTGGGATGTTCCTTAGGTTTTTTTTTTTTTCGATTTGTTTGTGTGCATTTCGGCATTTTGCTACGAGATTCTTGCAGTTTTTCTTTGTATTTATAAAAAAGAATCTTGCAGGTTCCTCTTGAAGTGGCTAATTAACAAGTTTATTTTCAGTTAGCATCCAATCATACTTCGTACATTTAGAAATCTCTCGATTCCTTACAGGAGCAGCAGCCAGGCAGCCAGCCAGCAGATATTTCGTTTTTTTTTCTTTTTTGAAAAGAAACCTTTCTTAGCATATTATTTTGAAGGTTTTTTAGGTAGATTTTTAAAATGAACGGCTGTAGTAAGTGGCCATAGATCCAGAAAATGGTTGGAGACCTCTAATTGCCAGTGTCAATTGTTTTATGATCCTAGCTAGTATTCCTTTTTGAGTTACATTATCTGGTATGTTGAAGAAGGGTCTCTTTCCTGTGGGATCACATAACTTGTGACCGATTATTACAAATAGAATCATCAAAGTTTGATTTCTATGAGGAATTTGATGGAGGAAACAAAACAATTAACTTTGATCTGTCAAGCGAACTCGGCAATCCCCACCCTACTCTTCCGAGAGAATCATGGTAGCCAAAATGTTTTGCGAGAATTAGGCCTTTGAATTTTGTAATGCTCTCCGGTCTGTCTCATGCTGTTATTTCTTTGATTGTAAATAACTTTTATTTCTCTTAATGAAAAAATTCGCCTCTGGCATATTCCCCAAAAAAAAACTTTTATCTGGAAGGCCTCGTGTACTACAAGTCTACAACTTCCCTCAGTCATTTTAGTGATACTATATAATAACTCATGTTTGCTAGAACTCACAACCATTTTTAGTTTCCCTTCCAAGTTCTGATTTTGTCACTGATGATACCCTCATTTGTAGGCTCTTGTTTGCACGATGGAGGCGGTGCCAAGCCCCTTACCTGATACTGATAGCGATAGGGATTGGTCTGAGCTCCCAGTGGATGCACTTTCTGCAATCTTCACGAAACTTGGGACTGTTGAGATCCTAATGGGTGCAAGCTTTGTGTGCCACTCTTGGTTGGCAGCTTCAAAGTCACCTGAACTGTGGCGGTTCGTGGACATGACACGCCACAAGGTGATTTTCTCAAAGAGAACTGGCATACTGTGCGCGATGGCAAAAGCAGCGATAGATCGCTCCGATGGACAGATTGAGTCATTCTGGGCCCAGAAGTTTGTCACTGGTGAACTCTTGGATTATATTGTGAGAAGGTATTGTTTCCCAAATACTATATTCGGTTCTGGGTTTGAGGGGTTGAGCTTTTAGCGATTTACATGGACCATGTTGAGATATCAGAATTAAGTCTCGTAGCTTAATATATAAACTGCTTGCATATGTACAGTATGATGTTCAATTAGGCTTTATTTATCACTGTCAAGTTAGTTTTGCATGTTCATTTCTTGCAAAAAGAAAAAAAGGGTTTAGTGTTTATCAGTGGCGGAGCCAGGAATTTAAACCTGTGAGGTCAATTACTAGTGATTTGTATTTAAGTGGGATAACTTCTCTAAATTCTTTTGGATTTATACTTGAAAATTGAGGTTTATAGTACGTTTTTCAAAAAGCTGTGGGGTCGGCCGACCCCACAGAAATGGCCTAAATCCGCCACTGGTGTTTATGGCTAGCCAGCTGCTACAAGTTTCTTAGCCCAGTTTCTTGGCTTTCAGGAAAACTAATTGACTGGCTGTAGTGCCGTACTTTGCTACGGATAAAACAAAATATATTATATTATTGACTAAAATAAATAAATAAATACGTATTATTTATCAAATGAATTACCCATCTTTTCCCTATGGATAATATTCACCTTAATTTGATTTTATATGTCGTTATCCATTTAGATTTGATTGTTTTTTAATATTCAGAAATTTAAGGGGTTATTTGTAAATTTTATTCACACTGAAATTTACAATGGGGTAGTTGGGGTGGCAGATTCACTGCTGCCACCACTAGAGCCTTTTAAAGGAGTACAGAAAATGTGCACTATGCAAAATGAAATATTCAGGACTTATTAATTGGCATTGCTTGGTTTAGTTTATTGTCGTATCTCATTTTCTTTCATTGCCTATGCAGGGCCAGTACATTGAAGAGCATTCGACTCGTTGCATGCACATTTATTCAGTGGCAATCATTGGCTATGCTTGCTGCTAAGTGTCCACTTCTAGAGGAGATAGAGTGCTCATATCATAAAATGCCAGCAGATTTTTTCAAATGTGTTGGCAGAGTTCGCCCAAATCTGAAGCGCCTAAGAGTCCATATGCACTATTTTGATCAGGATGAGCTGGAGAATGAGTTGATTAAGCATGTCCTTGAGGAGGGTGGTGAGGTATTCGAGGAACCTTTCGAGCAGAGGGAGGCAAGGCGGAATGCGGATGCCTTCGCGATAGCAGAAAACATGCATGAGTTACGGCTTCTGCAGATTGCAGGTCATAACCTGACCGAGATAGGGGTGCGCGCCATCCTTGATGGCTGCCCCCACCTCGAGTGCCTCGACCTTTCTAGCTGCCACGACATCTACGTCGATGGTCAGCTCCAAGCTCGCTTCGCGATGATCAGACATGTCAGGTTGCCAGGTCTCATGATGGTGACTGCCCAGATCTCCGTGCCATCGGTGAGAGGGTCACTATGGCTGATCTTTTCAGAGGTCTCGCTCGCTCTCTGCTTGAGAAGATGGAGATGGGGGATGGTACCTATGGCGATGACTAAGTCCCTTCGTCCCCTGACCCCCGTGTCGACTTGAAGAACCTAGCCTGATGACCCCAATATTTTCCGTATTTTTCAGTGTCTACCATGGTCCATGGTTACTACTTCCTCCGTTTCACAATGTAAATCATCCTAGCATTTCCCACATTCATATTGATGTTAATGAATCTATCTAGGAAATGCTAGGATGATTTACATTGTGAAAGTCTAGATTCATTAACATCAATATGAATGTGGGAAATGCTAGGATGATTTACATTGTGAAACGGAGGGAGTAATAGCTATGATCTTCCCAGCGTACGTGCTGTTTAACCAACGTAGGGTGTGTCACCTGCAGTATTTGTTATCAGTACCTTATTAGTGTTTTGGGAGGTTAGAATGGTGGCGATATACACCCTGTTTACCTGTAGTAGTAGGCCTTTTGGTTTGCTGGCAAAGGGTATGCTGCTTCTATGACCTTATGAACTGTGTGCTTTATTAGCTTAAGCTTACTATTATGTAGTAGTTGGACAAGTCTCTACCTGCATCTGTTAGACTGTTAGCTGGAGATGTGTATGCAAGCAATATAATGGCTATGTTAGTGTATTGTGAGCTGTGCTCATCTCATTAGCATCATATTCTCAACAATTATTTCTTCCGTTCGGCATTTGCTTAACTTTCTACGTTCAAACGAGTCTTTGGTGTGCAAGTGTATTGCGTTGGTGTCTCTTGATTTACTGATCATTTCAATGTCAGTACAGTTATATTTCTGACTCTTGAACTCTTGTTAGCAGTGTTTCCTTCTCTTCTTTTTTTACGGATTCATCTTTTTCTTCTAATTTTGTAAGTTTCAGCAATGTTATTATACTAGAAGCCGGTTATTAACCACATTTTTCAAGATTTTTATTTTTTTTGAAGGAACCATTTTTGACAGATTTCAAATGCATGCGTAAGCAGTTGACTTTGTACTCCTATAGGCTGTCAATTGCCTAGCATGTAAAAGAATCCAGCCCATTAAAAGACAGCAGTCAAATAGTTCAGGAAAGTAGTTCACTTAAGATCTCTCGTCTTGCTGTTGAGTTTCAAAATCATCCCTAAACCGGAATACTAGATATAACGCATCTTTAATCTTATAAAAAAAAAGAATCCCTTATATGCCACTCAAAATTGGATCCCTAAACCGGAATACTAGATATAACGCATCTTTAATCTTAAAAAAAAAAAGAATCCCTTATATGCCACTCAAAATTGGCTTCTCCTTTATATGCCACTGGTTCAAGTTTATTTACCCTTTTATGCCACTCCCAGCAATCTTTCAGCAATATGCCCTTTTAGTCAAACGTTAGTTTTTTTCGTAAATGACCAATATACCCTCTCAACGAAAAAAATGTGTAAACTTCAAAAAATCATAACTAATTTATTTTAAATCCTTTTTGAGTGAACAAAATTTTGTCAGATCCTGTGAAGAATGCTCTTTGTATTAAAAATATTGTTGAAAAACTGCACGTTTCATGCTTTTATTGAAAATTTATTTGTGATGGTGATGGCTAAAATTGCATGTGATGAAAAAAATCAATTTTCATATGTTGTATCCAGTAGCTATATTAGTACTAAAATACTTATTATTGGTTGTATACCAACTCTCAAGGGTAAATGCGTCTTTTTACTATGAAGTTAATAGACAACTAGCGGTGCAGTGGCGTCAATGGCATAAACGGGAGGACAAACTTGAACCGGTGGCATAGAAGGGAGAAGCCAATTTGAAGTGGCATATAAGGGAACCGGTTAATTTGGAGTGGTATATAAGGGATTCTCTCTATTAAAATGGGTTATATTGGGTCCCAATACATTATTGTTCTCGGTTTTAACTGACATGGCAGCTAAGTCAGTGAGGAATCCACGTGAGCCCACATTTGAGCAGCTCAATCTTGTTTCACCTCTATCCCCTCTCTTCCCATGTTAATCTAGGCATCCAATGCGGCCAACGATGGGTGGGAAGAAGAGTGGCGAACGGTGGGAGAGGTGTGCGGCGGTTGATGGGGGAGGAGGACGGTAGCCGTTGGGAAATGCGTGAGGGCGTTGCCCGTGGCCCACCTTGGTTGCATTGCCATGATGAGCTATCTCATCTTCACCCTCAGCACCGGCTGCGTCGCCTCCCCACCTAATTCTTCCTTCTCGCCTACGGTCTCCGATGCTACACGAGTTCGCTATGTCATTCTTCATACTGCATGGGGGGGGCACGGGAGGTGTCCCTGCTATCATCGGCGTGGGGCCTACCAGGGGTAGGCGGGAGGGGGATAAGTGGGGTTGAGGATGGAAGGAGGTTGGCCCAGCAAGCCGGCATGGCGGTGGGGCGCAGGTGAGGGTAAGAAAGGTTATATGTACTTTGGAATGGAGGGAGTATCAAACAATTTATAGATCAAAGCTTTTATGTATTTTTAATGACTCAAGAGCTTTTCTAAAGAATAAACTATGATTAAAAATTAAAATTAACTCTAAAATTAAATTTTAGATTCAACTTTTTTTACTGCGGCTAATAAGCTAAGGATTAAACAACGAGACTAGATACCAAAATTTTAGGAAAGGTATTCAAATAAAAAAAATGGAAGGAAGAAAAAAAAAAGAGGTCGTGTTTGGCTGGGTCGTACATATTTTTGCATATCGTTGAAAGGAAAGAATACATTTTTAAAAGTATTTCATTTCCTACACAATCAAATAGCAAAGCTTAAACCACTACCACTGTGCTAGGGTAAAAACGTCAAACAAATAGGAATCCGGAAGGTTCTTCCACCGATCAACTCGAGAGGGGGATAAAAAGGTGAAAATGGCAAAAATAAACCAGGCCCCTTCACCTTCAGTCGGAGTCTCCCGTTGGAGCTCGAAACCCTTGCTACACCACTGTGCTGCCCGGAGTAGAAGAGGCGGACGCCGCCGCGTAACTCGCCGCCGGCGAAGGTAAGTAGGTAATCGATCACCTAGCTGCATCAAGTATCGCTCCATTCCGTTCCCTATTCTTCGAAAGGTGCCGATACCCTAGTTTCCTATTCCTAGTGTTCCGCAGGAGTGGTGAGAACTGAGAAGGGGGAGATTGATTTTTGACTACTAATTTCTGCGGTCAAAAGTCAGCAGATTTCCCCCCTGTTTATTGTGACAGGCCTTATGATGTTGAAGAGCATATCGTTCGGATGTTTTTACTCTTTTTTTTTCGATTTGTTTGTGTGCATTTCGGCATTTGGCTACAAGATTCTTGCAGTTTTTTTAATATGTATATAAAAAATTATCTTGTGGGTTCCTCTTGAAGTGGCTAATTAACAAGTTTGTTTTCAGTTAGCATCCATCTTATTTAGTACATTTAGTAATCCTTTAATTCCTACATGAGCAGCGGCCAGCAGATATTTCGTTTCTTTCTTTCTTTTTCTTCTTTTAAAAGGGACCCTTTTTACCATATTACTTTGAAGGTTTTTTAGGTAAATTTTTAAAATGATTGGCCGTAGTAAGTGACCGTAGCACCAAAAAATTGGTTGGAGTCTTGGAGACCTCTAGTTGCCAGTGTAAATTGTTTTATGATCCTAGTATTCCTTGTTAAGTTACATTATCTGGTATTATGAAGAAGGATCTTTTCGGTGGGATCACATAAGTTGTGACCGGTTATTGCAAATAGAATCATCAAAGTTTGATTTCTATGAGGAATTCAATTGGGGGGGGGGGGGGGTAGAAACAATTAACTTTGATCTGGAAGACCTCATGTGCTGTAGTGTACAAACCTCAGTTATTGTGGAGATATATAATAAGTAACTCATGTTTGTTATAACTCACAACCATTTTTAGTTTTCCTCCCAAATTCCGATTTCTCACTGATGGTACCCTCATTTGTAGGCTTTGTTTTGCACGATGGAGGTGGACCCAGGTGATCCCTTACCTGATACTAACAGAGATTGGTCCAAGCTTCCAGTGGATGCACTTTCTGCAGTCTTCATGAAACTTGGGACTGTTGAGATTCTGATGGGTGCTAGCTTTGTGTGCCACTCATGGTTGGCGGCTTCAAAGTCACCTGAACTGTGGCGATTCGTGGACATGACACGCCACAAGGTGATTTTCTCAAAGGGAACAGACATACTGTGTGCGATGGCAAAAGCGGCAATAGACCGCTCCGATGGACGGATGGAGTCGTTCTGGGCTCAGAAGTTTGTTACTTGTGAACTCTTGGATTACATCGTGAGCAGGTATTGTTTTCCCAATACTATATTCAGTTCCTGGTTTAAGAAGTTGGAGCTTTTAGCAATTTATGTGGACCGTGTTAAGCTTTCAGACTTGCGTCGTCTAGCTTAATAAATTGATTGCATATATATAGTACGATGTTAAATTAGGCTTTATTTTATCGCCGTGAAGTTAGATTTGCATGTTTCTTCCTTGCAAATTAAAATTAAAAAAGGTTTATATGTTTATGGCTGGCAGAGAGCTACAATATATAGATTGATGTTTGTGGAGGTGCATTAGCACAAGTTCTTGGCTTTTAGGACAAAAATATGAGCTACACAATTTGAAATATTTAAGGATTTATTAAGTAACATTGCTCAGTTTAATGTATTGCTGTCATTTTTTGTCCTTATCTCCACAGGGCCAGTAGTACACTGAAGAGCATTCGGCTAATTGCATGCACATTTGTTTGGGGGCAGTCATTGGCTACGCTTGCCGCTAGGTGTCCACTTCTAGAGGAGATAGAGTGTTCGCATCATAAAATGTCAGCAGATTTTTTCAAATATGTTGGCATTGTTCGCCCACAGCTGAAACGTCTACGAGTCCATATGCCGTATTTTGATTATGATGCGATGGAGGATGAGATGAAGGAGCATCACAATGAGGATGAGGATGATGACGAATATGAAGAACCTTTCGAGCAGTGGGAGGCAAGGCGAAATGTGGATGCCTTTGCCATAGCAGAAAACATGCACGAGCTACGGCTTCTTCAGATTTCAGGTAACAACCTGACCAACAAAGGGGTGTACGCCATCCTTGATGGCTGCCCCCACCTTGAGTGCCTCGACCTTTCCGACTGCTACAAAATCCACGTTGATGATCAGCTCCGAGCTCGCTGCGCAAAGATCAAACATGTCTGGTTGCCTGGACAATGGCCTCATGTTAACTGTCCAGATCTCCGTGTCATTGGGGAAAACGAAGGCGAAGATGATGGGATCACTCTACATGATCTTTGGGAAGCCGAGGTTTGAGACTCTGCGGGCCGAGGCCAAGATGGAGGATGGTAGCTATGGCGACTATTACGAAGACTACTCTGCCCTCTCGTCCCCTGAATCTTGCGTCGACTCAAAGGATGTATATTGTGATGACCCCAAGGTTTACACTATGTACCATGATTACTATTCTCTGTGATCTTCTTATAGCCTTGTTTAACCAATACAGGATGTTAGTATTTGGAGGTTAATTAGAATCGTTACAGTAGGGCTATGTTTGTGTGTGTGTATATCCTGGAGTAAGTCTTTTGCTTTTGCTGGCAAGCTTGTGTTGCTTGTATGACCTTGTGAATTTGTCGCCTTTATTAACTTATTATTACTATATGATAGCTGGATAGTCGTTGCATCTGTTATTGCCTTATTGGAGATGTGAGTAGAAGCAATGGTTGGTATTGAGTGTGTTCTCATGAGCTGCCCTATTGAAATGTACTGATGAACCGTCTGAAATGATTATTGAAATTGAAGAAAAACCACGATCAAATCTGGCGATGGAAGAAAGGTGAATGGTATAGACAATCGAGGTTGCGTTAAACTCCCAAATTTCAAACTACTTTATCCGTCCCAAAATATAGCAATCTAGAAGATGAGACACATCTTAATACAATTAATCTGGATATGCATGTCCAAATTCGATATATTTGTCCAAATTCGATATATTTGTGTCCCATCAAGTCCTATGGCCCTGTTTAGTTCGAGGGGAAAAAGGTTTTGGCGTGTCACATCGGATATACGGATACACATTTAAAGTATTAAGGTAGACTAATAACAAAATAAATTATAGATTCCGTCTATAAATTGTGAGACGAATTTATTAATCTTAATTAATCTGTTATTAGCAAAATGTTTACTGTAGCACCACATTGTCAAATAATAGAGCAATTAGGCTTAAAAGATTCGTCTCGCAATTTACACGCAATCTCTGTAATTAGTTTTTTTTTTGTCTAGATTTAATATTCCATGCATGTGTCCAAACATTCGATGCGATAGGGTGAAAAGTTTTTGCGTGGGAACTAAACACGGTCTATGTTACTGTCGACGTTTGATGTCACGAGTACGGAATTTGGATGGTATGGAGATCATCGGTAGCAGGGTATATGCGAGATTGAAATAAAAGAGATGGAGACACGTTCGGGCCCTTATCTGGAAGGTAATAGCTCTACTTCTGTTGTCTGAAGCCGGTGTTGCTCTATATTCATCAGAATCACACAAGTACAATATTTGGTATCCTATCTAGCTGTCATCGATTTGGCGGCATAGTAACCCGGTTTTATAAGTTAAGAGATGTCATATATCTGGTTTTTCGATTGAGGGATGATTTTGTAATTCGTTGATAAGATGAGAGACCTCTGATGTAGTTTTTCCAACAAACAATCAAGCCTAGAAAGAAATAAAAATCAGCCCATTAAACCACAAAAGGAAATTAAATTAGCCCGTTAAAGGTCCAACTAGTAAAAAATCCAGCCTGTTAAAGGAATCCTATTTGGAAATGAACTAGGCCCAGTAAGAAAAATCAGGCCGTCGAACGGCCTGAAACGGCCTGAAAAGGAACAAATTCAGCCCGTTAAAGGCCTAACAAGTGAGAGCCTATTCAAATGAACAAGCAAATCAATTTAGCGTGTGAAAGAATTCAGCCCATTAAAGACCTAAAGAACTGATGGAGTCAGCCCATAAAAAACTGACCCATTAAAATTTGGAGAAGTAGAACATGCATCCAAAGCTTAGCTTGCAGGTTTCAGCTGTAATGATTTGACAAAGAAGAACATGATGAGATCTTTTAAGGATTCTGCTGCCCAATGGCACTTCTCATCGATTATAAATATATTTTCACTTTGTTCTCTTGATGAGCTTTTCTGTAAGATCTTTGAGTGCCTGTCTTGAGATCAGCACAGATCCATCCTTGCTCTCAGGAAGAGCATCGATTGCGTCTGCTGCCAATTTGGCATGTTCAGCAGCAAGTAACCTTGTCCTCTCAATTCCCTTACTTCTGGCAAGGTATGCAAGGGCCTGCGAAAATAAAATGAGCCCAATTGAATTAATTAGCTGTAGAGCATTTCACAACTCAAATAATTTTGAACCATACTAGAAAGAAGAATGAAATAAAGTCTCGGTACTAACTGCGTCTACATTTGAGGGGTCATCAAAACCCTGTTCTACAATTACGCGCAATTGCGGGTACTCTTCCATTGCAAACAATATGGGAGCCGTCACAATTCCCTGCTCAGATAAAGCACTTATTATTCCTTGCATATCACACTTCTGTACTAATTAAATCAGTGTTTTGATGTACACCCAACAAAGAAACCTCAAAACTAGATCACTAGTCGTAACATAATAACATGGAATTGTCAGTCAATAATAGTAATGTAAGAATTTGATATGATAGTGACCAAGAGTGATGATAATACTTGATGGATATCAGACAAGGAGCCTTTGCCTAGTGAAGCTGATGTCCCTGTGAAATCGAGGATGTCATCGATCAACTGATAAGCTATACCCTGACAGGAGAATGCAGAAATAAGTCATCAGTTGTCAGTAGTTCATGGTTAGCAAAAGAAGAAACAGATAATGAGTATGGATATATATATAACAAACCAAGTGTTTGCCATACTGATAAGCAAGCGTCGCAACTTCAGCTGTTTGGCCAGCAAGAACCGCAACAGCTTTGCAACTGTTTGAAATCAATGCAGCTGTCTTGTAATATGACTTCTGCAAATAGTAATCCATGCTGCATATGCATTCAGCAGTTGTTAAATAAAGTTAGAGAGAGAGAGAGAGAGAAGTGTTGGAATTGGATTGCCATGCAATTGATTACCCTAACTTGATTTTAATTTCTTCCAGTCCCTTATTCCCTTTTGTCTAGAACAATACTATCTCAGGTTTTTTAAGCTGATACTTTATCACAAGTGACCTATTTAAAATATGAATGGTATCAGCAGCGAAGCCAGGGAGGGGCGGAGGGAGGCCTGGCCTCCCTCAAGCCATTGCTTTCCCTAGAGGATTAGCTCATAATCATGCTAATTATGTGTTGGACTTAGGTGTATTAGGTCTCCTTCCACGTAGCAAATCATTTTCTAGTATACATGCTTGGTTTGACATTTGCCTCTATTATGCACTTGTTTTCCGATGAATTTTTGGAACCTAGCTTTTTGTGCAAAAATATCTTTTTTTTTCAAACTATCAACCCAAAAGTTTTATTATTTATATCATCTATTTTTATATAGATACAATCCACCAATTACACTAATTGCTACAAAAGAACTCTCGCATTTAGCCGTATCATCAAATCATATTTGCCATTGGATTAAAGCATGTATGAATTATCAACCATTAGATCAATGCTTCTTATCTTAGTAGTTAGTAGTTCTAAAACAGCAATGCAACTTGTGGGATATTCACCATTAATTTTTATAACTGTTGTCACTTGGCAAGCTGCCCCCCCCCCCCCCTTCTGTATCTAAACCCTGGCTTTGCCACTGAATGGTATAAGTAGTATTGCTCACTTGTGGAGCACATATAAATTGCATCACAATGAAGTTAGTACTATATTTTTCTCTCAAGCTCTTTGTGCGCTCTATCACTAGGAAAAGTCCCATTGCCCAGGAATAGCTTAAATGCCAAGAAAAGTGATTAATGAATTGGACATGCACCTGCAACGTTGTATTGGAGTTATTCTCATCTGCATAAACTCACCAGTTACAAGGTTATTTACAGCCGTTGCTAGCAACAATATAACCTGCAGAGAAAAAAATGGGATAACCTTGATGTTATGGCCCTGCAAAAGGTCCATGCTGAAATGCAACTGATAAAATCTGATGTTGCAAGAAATGGAGAACAATGCAAGGCATCATGGCAGATGACACACCAAAATTAAAACAAATTGGTTCTCTGTTTTTTTTTTCTTAATTTATCAACATGTATACTTAACTTCATTCTAGGTATCGAAATCAACAACAGAATAAAATAAGGATGGAACATGATTATTGCACTAACAAACAAAGGATAAACAGTCACACCTCAGCATTGTCAAGAGACACCGCAGCAGTAGAAAATGCCTTGGAGAGTAGAAAATCACCAGCCAGCACTGCAAGCTGCAAGAGAGCATCGATTCACTAATTATTTGGTACATATTGTGTAAATGGAAGCTAGATACATCAAAATGCGATCAAGATGTGCTGAACAAAGAAGTGTGTCCAAAAAGAAAGAGGAGAGATTTGATATTGTGAAGCAGATAATAGAACAAATGGGCTTGCCTGCACATTCAAGAGTAAAAGAGATTGATGATAATTGGCTTGTGAGAACTACTAAATAGTGAAAATAAAGTAGTTCAATCAGTGCTATTTAATACATAGTATGTTCTATCAAACTGAAATCCACCAGCTCAAGAATCAAGATATACTTTTCAAATTACATCTTCCATATTTCATTTTGCCATTCAACAAAACAAGCTTACAAGCATTAGATTATATTGTCAAACTGCTTTTTCCTTGTTGCAAATATCATAAGACATCAACTATCCTTGTTATAAACACATTGTTATATTACCTTCTTTCCCATAACACAGTTCAGTGAGTCCATGCCACGCCTGGTATTAGCATCATCCAAGACATCATCATGGATAAGGCTTGTTACCTAAGGTGCCAGGTAGGAGATAAGTCATTGATATAAATAATTCTGGAAGGGGTAAAAAGTTAAATGAAACAGCTAGGTTGGACTTATACATGAATCAGTTCAGTTATCTCAGCAAGACGCATATATCTCTCACGAATCTCATTCTTTGAACCAACAATTGGGTCAGCCATGTCCATGCTTATAGATGAAGCCATCAATAGTAGAACCTGACACATCAATGACCAGGCGCTTCTAATGATGAAATTGGCAGGAGTAAATTGTTAGCATGTATGCATATTATAAGTAACTTGCGTCTGCAGCACAATCACAAGATATTCAATTACACCCTTATTAAAGTCTGTCCTTACAGTGGGGCAAGTTCTTTTCCCTTCAGCTCCAGCTCTGAAGAAGTACCCAGCTGCTAACGTCAGTTCCGGTACCTGGTCATGATGTATTTCATAGATACAACGATAATCTTTTCACATGAGGAGATACAAAGACAAATGGTGAAGGATTCGTGCCATCATACATTTATATAGCATCTCACAGTATAAAATTGTTGTTAGAGCATTCACCTCAGCTACCACCATTGAGCGCAATCTATTTGAGATTTCAGATACTTCATCTTTAATCAGTGCAAGGGGGTCTAGCAGCTCCTACTATACAGAAAAAATAAAAGATTATGCCAGGACATCAGATCCAGACAACAGAAATTTATGGTTATATTGGCAGAATAAATATCCTAAGTTTTTTATCTTCATAATGTGTGTTTTAACAGGATCACAGCCTCTAATTTCCTGCTTAAGAATAGAACACCTAAATCGCATGGCTTATCTGTACCTTAGCCATCTGCTCCCCTTCTCTGGATGTCTGATGCCTTGTGCTGTGAAAATAACATGAACTCCATAGAAACCCTTCTCTACCTGAGACATTCTGTGAAGCAAACAAGAACGTGATGTTAAAGCATTACACAAACAAATCTAATCAACTTCCACGCTACAAACAATGTACTCTGATAGTCTGATGCCGCATACATCAGGGTTAATTTGAGCAAGTAGTGAGTAGTTGGGGATTCGACGCCATTGTAAGCCTAAACTGCCCAAAAAATGTTGGCTGCTGCAGCAAAATTCTCGCATTCAGCGGCTAGCACGGCGGGGGGGAATCAGAAATGTCATGCCCCTCATCTAGTCGTCTCCCCTCACCTTTCGGTTTGGAGGAATGGAGGAGGCGTCGGAGGAGGCCGAGCGCAGGAGACCAGCAAGAAGAGGAAGACGCCTCGGCAGTAGCATGGCGGCGGCCGTCCGGGAGGTCGCCGGAGCTGCGCGCGCCGCCGCCACCGGCCGGCGAGATGCGTTTCGAGAGAGGGAGTGGACTAATGTGGACCCGTGGTGGTGGGGCCCACAACAAGGTTATTGTCGTCCCAACTGGATTCAGCATCGGAAAGAAAAACTAAAAAGAGAGAAGTCCGAATTTCCCCTGAGTTATTGTGGCGGTAAGAATTTCCTCGAAAATTCAAAACCCAGATATTTTTCATCATCAACTTTTTATATAGGACGAATTACTACTATATAACTCTCTGGAACCGTGTTGCAAAAAAATATAAAAAGGGTAGGGCTCTCATGCGGAACTGACAAGTGAGCCCAATCATTTTTATTTTTTTTATACGAAAGATTGTTACGTGTGCGTTACGTAGGATCAAAACTATAAAAAGTTGAGAGTGAAAAATGTCTAGTTTTTAAATTGAGGGGGGTAATTTGTACTGCAATAATAGATTAAGGGTTCGTATTTTTTCCAAAAAAAATATATTTGAATCTTGCAGAATTTTCAATCAATGGATATCGCCCTTTTAAATAAAACAAAAAAGAGACAAACATGTCAAAAATCGTAAATATAGATAAAATATTATTAATAAATTTTATTTTGATGTATTGTAATTGAGTGTAAGTGTTATATAACTAAGTACTCCCTCCGTCCCAAAATAAATGTAGTTTTGCACTGTTCATGTTCAATGTTTAACCGTCCGTTTTATTTGAAAAACTTTTATGATTAGTATTTTTATTGTGTTTAGATGATAAAACATGAATAGTAGTTTATGTGTGACTATTTTTTTTAATTTTTTCATAAACTTTTTAAATAAGACAGACGGTCAAACGTTGAACACGGATACCTACGGCCGCGCTATACTACCTCCGTTCATATATGTTGTACTAGAATATGTCACATCCCATTTTAGATTGGGTTTTTTTTTTGAAACGGAGGGAGTACGTAAGTATCAAAATTACGAATCTTTATGGAAGATTTCATGAACAAAAGTTAAAAAATAAAGCTCAATCTATCATAAGTGAAATAGCAAAACTGAACCGAATAAGGCAAAAAGGAAAAAGGATAAAAAAAGTACGGTCCTATTCGGACACGAAAATCCATCACCGTCGCCCTCGCCTGAGCTCGCGGCGCGCGCCCCGTTGCTGCTTCATCCGGCGCCGCCGTCGTGGTCCTCACCGGCGGCCATCGGCCCATCGCCTCCGACAACTCCGGCGGCGCAAGCCGCCAGGCCACGCCGTCACTTCTCCTCCGTCTCTCTCTCTCGCGCGCGCGCGCGACGCGGCGGGCATGGCAAACCTGCTAAAATTCAAACACAGGAGTAACAACACGAGTCAGGTTACGACACGGCGACGAACTAACCAAATCCGTCTCCGAGATGAGCCGCCGCCGCCGATATCATCCGAAGGCGCCACGCAGATCGATCGAGAGGCCGCCTCAGTAGATGTTGAGCGATCCGTGTTGCTCGGTGAAGATCAGCGCGTCGTACTTCGCCGAGATGATGTCGAGATTCTCCGGCAGGCTGAACCGGTTCGTCTGCGGCATGGCGGCGCCGCCGCCGGAGGAGGAGGACGACGACGCGGCCGCCAGCGCCGGCGGCGAGGCGGAGGACGCCTTGAACACGCCGTTCCTCCGCTACCGTCGAGCGCGCCATAGACCGTCACCACCGCTCGCCGCGCCGTATTGGCCGCGGGGGTTCGCCGATGAGGAGAAGGCGGAGAAGGAGGCGGTGGTGTTCGAGGCGGCGTTTCGGCGGCTGCTTGCGGAGAAGGAGGAGAAAGCGGAGGAGGAGGAGGGGTCGTCGTGGTTGCGAGGCGTGGTGCTGGCCATGGAGCGGCCGCCGGAGCCGAGGGGGAAGGATGAGGAGGTGAGGCTGCCGTGCTTGGCGCTCCCGTCGCTTGATGGGTACAGGGTTTACTCCCTCGCCGAGGGGCGCATGTGCGACGACGGCGACGTTCGGCTGCCGATGGCGTGCCGCCGCCGCTACGTGTCGTCGCCGTACGGCGGGAAGGTGTTCGTCACGGATCTCAACTGGCGCTACTTGTCGCACCTCGTCGACCCGTTCACCGGCGAGCGCACGCCGCTCCCCGACCTGCCCATCCCGCTCTCGGAGACGGAGCCGACGCCGTGCGCGGACGACGAGCCACGCGCCAACCGCACGGTGGCGGTGGGCACCGACGACTGCTTCGCGTGGGACTGGTCCCCGCGCGGCGTCATGGTCGCGCGCGGCGACACGGTGTTCTTCTGCGAGGCCGGCGGCGGGGAAGGCGGCGGCGAGTGGAAGCCGGTGCACCGGTCGCGGACCAACTCGCCGATGACGGTCAACCACCGCGGCGGCTTCTTCTTCGTGCTCGAGCGGCGGTCGCTGCTCACCACGGTGTTCGACGCCGAGACGCTAGCCCCCACCGCCGAGATCGCGCCGCCGCCGAGCCGCCACGACATCGACGACGCCTACCTCGTCGCGTCCACCGACGACGTGCTCCTCCTGGTGCGCCGCCGCGCGGCGGACAGCGACATCCGGGAGGTCTTCACCCACGCCTACCGCGCGCGGCACAGGGGCGCGCGGCCGTCGCCGCCGCCAGCGTGGGCGCCGGTGACGGACATCGGCGACCGCGCGGCGTTCGTCACCAGGGCCCACGGCTTCACCGTCGGCGTCGTCGGCCCCGACCCCGACGCCGACGGCGGAGAGGAGGCGGCGGCGACAGTGCGGAGGAACCGCGTGTACGTGATCCGCGGGAGCACGACGAGAGACCAGCTGGACCGCCGCGTCGTCAGCCACAAGATCGGCGAGGTCCACCTCAAGAACCCCATGCCGCCGACGCTGCTGCCATTGCTGCAAGGCGAGCTCGACGGCGGCGGCTGCTTGCACGAACGGAAGTTGGGGCAGCCACACTGGATCATCAGGAGAGATCAGCCTACGTCAGCATCGGTCAACGATTCAGAGGAGAGCGATCTGTCCACGTCAGCATCGGTCAACGAATCAGACGAGAGCGATCAGTCTTCGTCAATATCGGTCAACGAATCGGAGGAGAGCGATCTGTCTTCGTCAGGATCGGTCAACGAATCAGAGGAGTAGAGTTATTATTTCCTAGTTAATTTCGTTGTTTTTTTTCTTTTGTGTTAGTCTCAACCTCTCAGCTTATTTACGACTGTTTGTGACTTGTGAGATAAGACCTATATATATACTACTCTTTTTCTTCTTTTTTATGAAACAAGGTAAAGAAACCAACATTCATATAAACATGTGCACACTCATGTATTCTATTTTAAGGCTGAGTTCGTTAGGACTTGTTGGGAACAAATCTCCCACGCACGGAAACGGAGCGGTCCATTAGCGCGTGATTAACTAAGTATTAGCTATTTTTTTAAAAAAAATAGATTAATATAATTTTTTTAAGCAACTTTCGTATATAAAATTTTTTGTAAAAAATGCACCGTTTAACAGTTTGAAAAGCGTGTGCGCGGAACACGAGGGAGGGGAGTTGCGAAAACAGGCTGCCGAACACAACCTAAGTGTTGATCGTTTGTTCTTTGTCGTTCATGACATTGAATCGAGTCTGCACAAAAAAATTGTAGTAAATATATGATCGCTCATAGAGAATTTCTCTTCAAATATTTTGGTTTTTTATTAGTTGTACTGACACCATCTAGTTGTCCATATTCATTATGTAGATATATTTCGAAGGTGAATTAATCAGTTAGATATTTTTCCCAAGCCTAAAAGTAGAAGATGAATAGGCTTACATCAGACATATTAAAACCCGGATTCTACACCTAAAATGTATTTACAGAAATCAATATTCAACCAAGAGTACATAAACTCTAAGCTTGCGTGAGGTTCGCTCGAATACTAGCAAACAAGCACTAAGACTCGCACTCGTTACAAAACACATTCAATCAACCTCAACATACCAACACAAAAAAATATAAAGCTAAGCATCTATTCTTTTCCTCAAGTTCCAACTAGGTTTAGGGAAGTGTAACACTATGACTTCTAACAATTTGTATCTCTCCTTCAACTTACCACCATCCTCTTTCTCAAGCAACAACAACCATTGACGAACCCAATATATCCTTTTAAAAGATTACCTGTAAAAAGGAATTGAGATTGGCATCGAAGGCTACATCATTTCGGTAAAGCCAAATAGACCAACATAATGCCACCCCCAAAAAAAACAATTTTAGTTTAATTTAGTTTGTGGACCATTAAGTCAACTACTAAACATTTGTAGGTGTTTGAATTCCATTGCATTCCACGCAGATCTAGAAAATTGGTAATCAAATAAAAGATATGTATTGTTTCAGTAAGATTAGAAAGCAGTACGCAGTACTAGCCTCCCACATTCTTTTTGACATATTATTCTTAGTCAATCAAGATAACCCCTCTTTAGAAATTATAAGAAAATCTTGATTTTCAAAGAAACTGTAGGTTTTGAAAAGAAATTTCCTTAGTACTACATCCCTATGCACCAGCGTTTGTACACGCAGTTTACCATGAAAATTCCATTGTTATTAGCTTTCTAAGCAAAAGTATCGGAGGCAGCTACGGATCGGACGTCCGATAAACCTACGGCATCGGATGCCCACCCGCCCGGTGCACATTCACAGCTGCACATGCAGGTTTTGAGGGCCCATGAGTTGCTACAGTACTACACACTGCACCTCCAGAAAAAATAATTAGCGCAGCAAGCAAGGTGACATGCTACATCTATTCAATCTCTTTTCTAAAACAACCTTTAACAAAAATTTAAACATTTTTTAAAAAATAATTATCTTATCTATTATTCAATTGCATCATTATATTTATTATAATTAAATATTTAAAACAAGATCTCACATGATTATATTTCTAATATATATAGTTACATTTCTAATTGACACATTGGTATATAATACATGAAACATCGAGTTATAACCGGTGAAACATCATATGGTACTCCCTCCGTACTCGTAAATGAATTCGTTTAGGACAATGTTTAAGTCAAACCTTGGGAATATAAATCATGAATAACTCTCAAGTTGTTGAGTTTGAAAATGTAAAAATTATATGAATATGTCGACGGGGGATACCCGTAGACCGGATATAGAGGGTATTGTGGTCTGTTGATATGAGGATCTACGTAGTACGACATCAAGCAAATAAAAAGACAAGGATTATACTGGTTTAGGCCCCTTGAAAGGTAATAGCCCTAATCCAGTTGATATGGGATTATATGATAGAAACCACAGAGTATAAAGGGAATAGCAGAACTCGATGATACCGACGAGATCGTAGTCGAATTGGTCCGACTAGATCTCCCGGCGACTTGGCTCCTGTGCGCTCCGGCTTCGTAGGCCGTGGTGGGTGTGTTGGCCGTGAGATTCGATCCCTTAGGTCCTGCCCGGGGGTTCCTTATATACCGCGGGTCAGTTGATCTTCAAGTAGAACTAGGAGATATCAGACCACTCACGATATGGTAAAGACCCAATATTGTTCGAGTAGAACTCTTTCCGTTCATAGATACCATATCTACCACGTGACATATTTTCTTAATGTATACGGAAACTATCCGTATACGCGCGGGTACACCGTGTCAGTATACAATGTACATCCAAGAATAGAGGGTATACCTTATCCGTAACCCTGACAGAATAGATTTGTCTTGAAAAATACTTTCATAAAAGTATACATATATCACTTTTCAATAAATATTTTTATAGGAACAATAAGTCAAAGTTGTGTTTTTGTTAACGACCAACTTTGGTAATATTAGTATCGGAGAAGAAGATTGGATCGAAGCGGAATCAAAGATGAAGATTATCGCGGAAACAGAGTAAGAATCGGCTGGAGTCCGGATCGGCTACGATTGGGATCGGCTAAGTCCGAGTCAGACTGGGTTAAGTGATACAGCCGATTCCGACAATACGACTTGTGTACGACATCGGGTTGAGTTGATATGCTTCAAGATGATTGTCACGCATGGATAGAGTCATGAGAAGGCAATTGTATCTATTAATTAGGATATTTTATGTAATTTCCTTAGATATATGTTTGGGCAAAAGTCTGCCGTAAAGACTTATGGTATCTTAGAGTTTGTTGGAGATAAGAGTCGTGTCCGATATGGACATAGTTTGTAATTTTCGGGTATAAATAGACCCCGAACCCCATGTAATCAATTAACACACACGTTCAATACAATCTCGGCGCATCGCCACCCTTTTTTGCTTTAATTTTATTTCGACGAGTTCTTACTTTCGGGTTGAGCTGCATTGGTTTCAATCTTCAACAAGAGGTAAAACTTGTTATGACGGCTTGCATTCTCGGGATTAGTGCTTCCATCTTTATGATACTCTAATCTTGTTTATGTAATTCGTCGAGTTATCATATATCTTATATAATCTCTGGCAATATCCCTATCTAACCTACAATCGGCTAACATCTATAAATAGAGGGCAGCCGATTAGGTTAAATATCGACGTTGACTTAGATTACATACGATATCCACCACTCTATGAAACTTCCAATGGCTTGATTGTCTAGATATCGTCTTTCTTTTCATACTTATAGCTGCATCAGTTGTTTGATCTTATGAGTCGTGATTAGAATCTCAATCTCTAGCCTGCTTCTTGGTTGTTGATTAGGGTAGTATCAGAGTTTCAGCCGATCTTATCTGATTTAACTATATTTGTTTTATGTGCTTTATCAACATATTAGATCTGCCCTTTATGTCAAGATCTTATTGCATTTAAGTATATTAGGCTTTTGTTTGGTATATTCTTCTTGCTTTAATATCTTAACATAGAGTTGTATCGGAGTATTAGCCGATACATGCTAGATCTATCAGATCGGCTATGCTATGAACATATATAGTCTTGTTGTTAATATATATTTTAATCCAAGTGATTTATATTGTCTCGGCATGGCGACCGATCTATCCCAATCACTTGATTTAAGTATATATCGACATAAGGATTATATATTGTTAATATCTACAGCCGATCGAGTAGATTTAATTCTTTATTATTCACTTATAAATGCCGATCGATGTATATATGACATCGGCTCAAAGATAAATGATATGTCATCGGCACTTAGCCGATCGGCTATCGTTTATGGATTTAACCACGGTTTCTTTGTCTTTATTTCTTGTTGATTGCAGGATCAAATCAACTGGCACGCTAGCATACCCGAAGGTGAGTTTTGGACCTGCACTGGAGTTAAGCAGATCTCCCAGGCCTCGTGTTTTTCATCAATAGTTTTGGAGACCGTGTCGCTGTCCAAAACGACTTCCTTTACAAGTACGAGGGTGTACTTAATAAAACATCCAAATTACATAATGTGCAACATATATAAATAAAATAGTGAAACATCTAAATAACACCGCGTGCAACATTTTGGGTAATTTGGAACCATGCCATTATAATTTTACAAAGTTTGAGATATGCCATCGGTATCTCAATGACATGTAGGACCCACATGAGTCAATGACATGTGGGTCAGGATGGCATATCTTAAATTTTGCAAAATTATAATGGCATGGTTCCAATTTTACCTTTTATTATTAAATGAACTAGTGAAATTTCACAAAATACTTGTTGAAACATCCCAACAAACACCGTGTGCAACAATAAAAAAAATCGATTGCAACATAACAGTCTGAAATATGCAAGAATGTTGAATTCGGACTGAAACATACACTTCTCACATGTGAAACATTGAAATTTTAATATAATCATGTGTGATCTTGTTGGATAGATTTAATTATAATGAACATAACGTTATAATTAGACAATAGATTGGGTAAATGATTTAGGCCATGTTTGTTTCAGTTTAAGATTGTTGTAATCTAGATTATTAAATCAAATTACTCTAAGCTGGATTATAATAAGTTGACATAAAACAAGCTACGAGTTGTTTGTTTCTCTGGATTATTAGAAGCATCTAAGGGTAGTGGGTCTTTAGCCACTCAATAATCTGGAAAAAGCTCCTCTAGAGGAGATTATTGGATTATAGTAATCTGGCTTATAGATTATAATAATCTAGCATAATAATCTACTTGTTTGTTTCAGCTTACTCCTAATAATCCAGATTATAATAATCCTAAGCTGAATCAAACATGGTCTTAAGTGAAAAAAAGTTTGAAGTTTGAAAATATAGTGTCATAGATGAAATGGATATCGATGCATGTGTAGGAGAGATAACAAGAGAAGGGCAACTGCATGCATGTGCCTTTGCACTTATAACGAAAGGGCTAGGTCGATGTTGTGGGTGTTCGATATTTTGATCTCCATCGGACGATCGAAAGTAAGCGTACTCAAAAAATATCCCTTAGATAAGAGTGTTTTATTGTTAACTAGGCATGATTTTACGTGGAATCTTGTTCATGTTATCGACTAACATATGGCTAACCAGCATGATTTTTGTCCTAACGATGAATTGTACGAAGCATTAATTTGTTTTAAAAGTTTTTTAGTGGAGTGTTTGAATCGCACTGTTTTAGTGTACCTGGTGAAGTACTTTTGTGAACGACCAAATGAGCTCGGTTCGAAAGCCAAAGGAGACGAGGCCGAGATGTGATGTAGTTATGTGGATTGCTTTATTGTTCAATAGAGTTATCATTTACCAACTTGTGATTTATTATCATGTGGATTATGAAGAGTTGAATATGCGAACTTGTGTTAGTTTTACATCTCTCGATGTTTTGTTTATTTTTTTAATAATACTTACAAATTTTGTACTCAATTGAGATGTGCTTCGATTGGAAGGCTCGAGCCGAGCCGAGCCGAGCTTATGTTTCAGCTCATTTCCCAGTCCAAGCCTGGCTTTCCACCCGTTATTAGTGGGCCAGCCCATGAAAACGAACAAAACCCCCACCATCAAGGCCCATATGAGCCCACTTGTAATAAAAACCCTAAAAAGCCCAAACTAATGTGCGCCTCCACTATAAACTCCCTTCCCCATCTCCTCCTCGAGACCCCTCCCCTCCCTAAAACCCTAGCAACTACTAGGGTTTCTCTCTCTCTCCTCCCCCCCTACACAGCCGCCGCTGCACCCGCCGCCGCCGCCGCCACACCACCGATGGGGAAGGCGAGCAAGAAGTCCGTGGCCGTGGCCGTCGCGCCCGCTGCTGTGCCGGCCAAGGGGAAGGGCGGCAAGAAGCGGGAGGCGGAGGACGAGATCGAGAAGGCGGTGAGCGCCAAGAAGCAGAAGGCCGCGGCGGCGCCGCCGGCCAAGGCCGTCCCCGCGCCCAAGGCGGACGCCAAGAAGGCCAAGAAGCAGCCGCCGCCCAAGAAGGCCGCGAGCAGCAGCAGCGGCAGCAGCTCTGAGGAGGACTCGTCGGAGTCCGAGGAGGAGGTAGTTTCGCTTGGCCGTTCCATGTTTTGCTAGTATTCGCGTAGTTGCGTTTAGAGTTTGATGTTTACTATGCTTTAGCGTTTAGTATGTAGAGCTCGGAGTTTGTAAATGAGAGTAACTTCATTTGAAATGATTCGAGTAGTTTCATTGAAGGGACATGTGTTAGGTTATGGGTGGTATAATCTATTGCTTTTGTTTGTAGTTTAATGTACTCATACAATGGATACAACTTTAGTCCTTAATTCCGCTTTCGTTAATGTGTTTTAGGTGAGGCTTTTGTTTTGTGTGAAAAACGTCTGTTGAGCTTTATAGATTAAATATCTTCTCTTTGTTATATAGGTCAAGGTCCAGGTGAAGAAGACTACTAAGCCTGTCAAGCAGGAGTCTTCTTCTGATGAGAGCAGCGATGAGAGCTCTGATGATGAGGTATGGAGCCACTATTGCGATTCAATCTTAAGTTTTTACTGGATGAGATGCTGATTTCTCGCATATTTCAATCAAGGATGCTAAGCCTGCGGATCCGGTTGCTAATAATGGTCTTAAGAAAGGCAAGCCAGCGAGCAGCGATTCTGAGAGTGATTCAGACGATGAAATGGATGAGGACGAGGTTCGCATTTCATTTCTGTTTGGATATGTTTCACTTATGTAGTTTTATGTTAATGATTGTGATGCTCATGCTAGGTAGTTAGATTACAGTGGTTCTTTTTAACAGTATATTAAACATGCGACATTTCAAAGGGAACTGATCAACCTTTTGTTTTAGCTTGTTTGACATTGTTTCTATGTTCTTTTGTTCATCCTTCAGAAACCTGCTGCTCCAGTGAAAAAAACTTCTGTGACTGCACAAAAGAAAAAAGATGATTCTGACAGCTCTGAGAGTGAGTCAGATGAGAGTGATTCGGACGAGGTGAGTGCTTAGAGATGACTGGATGAATTCCTTTGCTGTTTTTATAGTTGTACTTACACTTGTATCTTTGGTTATATTCCTTGTAAATGTTAATGGACATATTTTTCATGGCATAGCTGACAGTATTTGATTATATTTTTCAGGATGTGCCTACAAAGTCTAAAGCCCCTGCTGTAGCTGCCAAGAATGATGATTCTACTGATGGTTCCGAGTCCGAAAGTGACTCTGAGGATGAGGTATTCCTTGGACTAGTATGTCTAATATGGTTCCATTGTTAAGTGTAACAACTAATGTCTAATATGGTTCCATTGTTAAGTGTTAACTCCATTTATATTTGTCAACTATTTAGGAGAAAGCTAAGAAACCTACCCTACCTGCCAATAGTTCTTTGTTTACATGCCTATCTGACACTCCTTTTGCCTCACAGGATGCTGCACCCAAGGGTGCTGCCAAGAAGGAAAGCAGCAGTGATGAAGAGGATGACAGTTCTGAGGAAAGCTCTGATGATGAACCTAAACAACCTCAACAAAAAAAGGTAATGTCGAAGTTTTGAATCTGCTGGATGACTGTACACCTCTGAACAGTCTGAACAATGAAATACTTGTTTTTAACAATTTTTTTTTATATAAATGTTATAGCAGGCCCAAGAGGAATCCTCTGAAGAGTCTTCTGAAGAAGATAGTGATGAAGAGGATGAAAAATTGGCCAAAACTCCTAAGAAGGTTCGTTTTCATGCTAGTATTTTAAATTTGATTCTATAGTACATAGATTGTTCTTTTCATTTACATTACAAGTTGTATGAATTAATTACTCTCTGTAAATTCTTCAGAAAACGCCTGCTGCCACCAAATCACAAAATGATGAAGTATGCCCCGCACCTTGAAGTTTTGTTTATTTAGCATTTTCTAAGCATAGGATATGTATTTGATATGATGCTTTTGTGCAGCCTAAAACTCCTGCGAGTAACCAAAGTCAGGGAACTGAGTCAGCAACCCTTTTTATGGGCAACCTTTCTTTCAATTTAAATCAGGACCAAGTGTAAGCCTTTCTGCAGAAGATTTGTCGACATTTTTCAGAAGGTGTGAATCTTGATCCTTTCTTGCTTGTGTTTACAGGAAGGAATTTTTCCAGGAAGTTGGTGAGGTTATCAGTGTTCGTTTGGCTACACATGAAGATGGCTCCTCCAGGGGCTTTGGCCATGTTCAATTTGCTTCATCTGAAGAAGCTAAGAAGGTAAGTTTTTATTTGACTTGTCATGTTTTCTGTCCATGTCATTTTTATTTCCTTGAGCTAAGGATGTGATGAGACTTCATTTTGTACCGATCCAGTTAGATGATTGTGATTATTTCATCCAAAAGTATAATGACACAGTATCAGAAAAAAAACCAAAAACCGCTGCTTAAACTACAGCAAGCAGTAACATGTTTGCAATAGTACTAGGTATGATGATTTGTTATTTTGTTTCAGGCGCTTGAATTGCATGGCTGTGATCTGGATGGTCGTCCAGTGAGACTTGACTTGGCTCATGAAAGAGGTGCATACACCCCTCACAGCAGGTAACCTTTTTTCTTCTTTATTTGTGAACGGGTTTAGCTATACTGACTGAATTTATGTGTTGACAATGTGCGAACTAATTTTCTAATTTGATAGGAATGATACTGGATCATTCCAGAAACAAAACAGAGGTTCCAGCCAGTCTATATTTGTCAAGGGTTTTGATTCATCTCTTGAGGAGAGCAAGGTAATTTCTTTGGTTAGCCTATTATGCATCACCTTTTTTTTTCTGATTGTTGTCTTTGCCAAATCCAGATCCGAGAATCTCTTGAAGGACATTTTGCTGATTGCGGAGAGATCACACGAGTCTCAGTTCCCATGGATCGTGAAACTGGTGCAAGCAAAGGGTCAGTTGCAGAATAAAACCATTAACAATTGTCACATTCTGATTAAACTTGCTAGCGATGAAACTTAATTTGCATGTGCCACTTTGCATGTATTTTTTTGGAAGAAGGTTCATCTAGTAAAGAAGATATTAGCGAGTGTGGATAATTGAACATATATGTTTGCATTTTGTGAATTCAATTAAAAGAGATGAAACCCATGGAGCTATCATTACCTGCTATATGAACATGTTGACTTAAATTTGTTATGTCAAATTATTGGTTGCCATGTTCCATGTATAACTTTGAAATGGACCTTGAAAATGACCATGAACCGTTATATGCTATTCAGCTTGTGAATTGATAAGTGAACTTGATTCTATCATGTGAAATACCTTTAATTTAAGTTGATGCCCTTCTGATTTACATTTATTGTTGTTTATTTGCTGTTTTGGTTACATTTTCTGAAGCATCTACTGATAGTGGCACTGTACAAATGTTGCCGAGTAATGCAGGATAGCATACATAGATTTTAAGGATCAGGCTTCCTTCTCGAAGGCACTTGAACTAAGTGGGTCTGACCTTGGTGGCTACAACCTGTATGTTGATGAAGCCAAGCCTAAAGGAGATAGCCGAGATGGTGGTGGGAGAAGAGGTGGCCGATCTGGTGACAGATTTGGCGGCCGATCTGGTGACAGGTTTGGCGGCCGATCTGGTGGTAGGTTTGGAGGTAGAGATGGTGGCAGAAGAGGTGGACGTGGTGGCAGAGATGGTGGCAGAAGAGGCGGACGTGGCGGTTTTCAGAGCAGGCAGAGTGCTGGTACAGCTAGTACAGGTAAATGTGTAAATCAAGTTTTGTTGCATGTTTTGAAAATTACATGTTATCAGTATCCTAGTTAGATACTCAGGTTTCTAAGACTTGCATTTTGGTTTGTCTTGCAGGAAAGAAGACAACTTTTGGAGATGAGTAATGGAGCTTGATCTTGCACAGCTACATGCCTACATCTTATGCAGCTGTCAAAAGGACTGCCTACCTGCAACTGTAGTGAAATGCGATGAGTTCTACTCCCATGGTTTACTCTATATTGCCGCCGAATGGCTGTACCAGTGAACAAGTTACTGTGCTGGTATTTTTGTCTGCAGTTTTGGTGTGTTTCCGGTGATTGTACTGGACATCTAGCGATTAGTGTAATGCAAGGATTTCCTATTACATTGTTATACATCAAGTATTTGCTTCCTCCGGTTTTGGTTTCATCGCAGCCTTATGCTTTGTTTCATCAAAGCTCTGCTAGAGGATACATCCCTCAATGTGTTTGTTTGGAGTTCCCTGAACAGTGGTTAGATAGCCAAGGCAACTTGTGTCACGGGTAGGTAGTGTTACGTCAGTTAGAAAATGGGTTGATTGGGTCCGTAAATTAACCGATTAGAAAAAATATTATTACTATTTACGATTTGATTTCGGTTGGGTGTCAATCGTCACGCCTCTGAATGGGGGCCTGGTGATCATATATAAGCATTGCTGGTGACCATCATCAGTACTTCCCTGTAGAATCGCTCGGGTTTCTGTTGATCTGTTGTATAGGAATGCTTACAGTATTTCTCTGTCCGCAGTCGGCACAATGGTAACATCCAATTTTTTTTTCTCCAATTATAACATGATGACAATATCTACATAGAAATCCTACCTATCGTAGTCACATTTTAACCTCTTTTCACTTTGGGGGTTCTAAAGTTTTTTGAGCCAAAAATCGTCATTCCGAGCAGGGTTTCATTTACCACCGGGGCCGCGGTTACCGCGCCCCGGCGGTAAGCACGGTAACCGCGGTAACCGCGACAAACCGTACAAAATTTATCAAAAATTCAAATTATTTTTCAAATTTATTTGAATTTGACGCGGTTACCGCGGTTTACCCCTTACCGTACCCCCGCGGTAAACGCGGTAACCGCGCGGTAAACCGCGGTAAATGCAACCCTGATTCCGAGTGCGATTGTGCAACAGGGCTCGATCCTTTTCACATAAAGTTGTACATAGCCAAAACACCGACCAGTCGTCGCGTACTACTTTTCACAGATCAACCGAGAAACGGCACGGGAACTACAACAACCTGTGGCCATCTCCATCAACTTCACACATCCACACAAACTTTTCCCATTGGTTGACCCCCTGATTTTCCCGAGTGCTCCAGTCAACCAGCAGTAAGCAGACTCAGCACACGGCCGGGGAAAGTAAAGCAACCATGAGAGGACAAAACAAACAGAATAAATCAATCAATCAAATGTCCCAAACAAGATTCGTCACAGCAAAGCAGCTGCTCATGATTTATCAGTAGGGTAGTTTTCAATCCTGGTATTGATGGATCGATCAAGGTTTCAAATGGCAAAGCACTTAACATGAGACAAATCGATCAAGGTTGGCAACTAAACAAGGATTCCATGCCAGCATCGTGTACTTAGCTCACATGGAATCATAGTGTAAGATAAGACTTTGCATAAACAAGTCAAGGTCAAGCACTCACCCTTGCTAAACTCGGGAAATTCCAAGCCTAGAACAATTTAAAGCAAAATCGAAGAGCAATAGAGCCAAAACCATGGTCTTGATATCTCAACAAAAGTTCATCTGTGACAACTGAACTCACTATGGTAACAAAAGAATAGACATTCATAATTCATACTTGTATAGAACACCACCAAATAATTGGAAAATCACCTCATTTTAACTCCATGCAATCATATCAGCGAATTCTCAATCAAGCAATGGCAGGTCAAACAATTAGAAAATCAACCCTTCGAAAATTTAGATGGGAAGAGAAGTGATGCATTTCGGTTGACATTTCGTGTAATTATGCTCAAGAGTCAAGACAGAATATAAGGATGTTTGGTTTGGTTGCAATGACAATGGAGTCAGCATAGGGGAAAACACCTTCAACCCAAAAGGTGTATGTCCCATAGCAATTTGAATGGATTACCCTACACAAATGCGCATCATTTGGCATCAATCACTAACACTAGAGCAAAATCTACACCCATAATAGATTAGTCACTTTTAGTTACCATCAATTAGTATTGCAGCAGATAACAATGCTACCATTCAAGAGATCCAATGAAGATCCACAGAAAATATGCAACAGAACAAAGACAGCAGGCACAAAAACATAATAAGATGATTTGAGACGAACTCATGATTAAATGCTAACACATTGCTACCTTTCTCTTTTCCTTCGATTATATTCCCTTCTTTACAATGGTCTTCGTTTGCCAAACTACCCACATAAACTAGCTATCCATTACTACCAACAACCTAAGGTGAATGCAGGCGCACACACGAACATAGCTCACAACAACTTGAACAAGAACCCATCCAATTTCCTATACCACGCTACTAAAAATACGTTGCCAAAATGGACCTCAGTCACCTAATAAAACCACTAAAATCCTATTGTTAGAGGAAGAAGCACCACCTAATCGGGAGACTGGGCATCATCCCCGTCTGAATCGGAGTCCCCAGAGCTCCTCGAGTCAGAATCTGCAGAAACACTTTCTGTGTCAGAGCAATTCAACTACGAAACAGAAACTGCTATGTCAGAGCAATTCAAATATGAAACAGAAACTGCGGGGGCATAATTCACATTTGTTCCGCCATACCACTGGATGCAGACGAGCCACTATCAGACCCGCTTGAGCTGCTCGCTACCTGGGCATCCCTCTCAATCTCCACCGACTGGTAATTTGCCGTCGGCATCTCATCGCCAATATCAACATACTCATCAACCATATCAACCTCTGAAACCCTCTTCTCCGGCGTGTCATTCTCCTGCAAAAGTGCAACATAAACAAAACATGAGAACACAATTCAAGCATTAGTCATTACACAGAACAAAGGATTGCAACATTGCCATACCGAGTCCCCAATTTCAACCACCGAAGGCTGATGATGCACATTCACCTGCACGGTATCGTCCTCAGTTGGAACAATAGCAGTCGCATCAACAGCATCACCGTTCATCGCGACAGTCCTCCGGCTCTTGCTGAGCGCCTTCTTGCAATTGACCACAAATCGATCGAGCTCCCACAGCGTCTCGACATCCATTTCGTCGAAATCAAGCTCAACGACCTCTCCCATTAGCGCCGGATCGGTATTCCTCTTCTGCACAATCTGTAGCACATTCCCCATTTTCTCCTCGGGCAAATTCCCGATCTCCACCCTCAACTTGTGCTTTTCCTCGTCGCTCATCTCCCTCTTGTTGGGCTCCCTCGCCTTGGGCTTCGGCCTCCTCCCCCCACCCCCAATCCTTGGCGGCGCCTGCATCGGCATAGGCACCGGGGGCTGCGGCGGCGGCGGCAAAGCGAGCGGCATTGGCGGCTCGAGACGCTGGCACTCCTGCTCGAACCAGGACAAGGCCTCCTTGTACAACCCCTCGAAGGTGGCGAGGAGGTTACTGGCGTAGCGGTGGACATGGTGGTCGGCCGGATTGTACCGCAGCGCGTTGCTGAAGGTGAGGCGGACATCGGTGGCGAATGCCTCATGCGAGGGGTACCTCCCGAAGGCGAGGTTCTCCTTGACGGTGCCGAGATCCATGGGGTTCCTGATGATGGCGTGGTAGTCGTGCAGCTTCAGCCGCTCGACGTCCACCGGCGAGTTGAACCACACGCTGATCTTCTGCTTCCGCAGCCGCGTCAGGATCTGCGTGCACCGCTTCCGCATCGCCGCCTGGAGGGCCGGGGGCGGCGACACGTGCCCCCGCTGGCGCGGAGGCTCCGCCGGCCGCCGCCGCCGCGCCTCCCACCCGTCGATGTCGGAGAGGAGGGCGCGGACCCGGCTGAGCTCGCCGGTGAGCCGCGCGCGGAGCACCTGGGCCTCCCTGCGGGACAGCTCGGAGGGGCGGATCGTCACGTGGCCCGACGGGGAGGGATCCGGCACGGACGGGGCCACAGTCGCCGCCGGTGGCCGCTGCGGCGGCGGCGGCGGCGGGATGCTGGGGCTCGGCCGGTGGTGCCGCCTAGGGTTAGGGTTGGTGGCGTGCTTGGGCATGAGGGGGACGCGGGCGTCGGCCCAGTGGTGGTGGTGGTGGTGGTGGACCTCATTCCGGCCGGCGAGCACGGCGGACGTCATCGCCGGCGGGGAGGGCCGCGGCGGCGATCTCACGATCTCCGGCGGCGAGAGGAGGGCATCGCTTATCGGGTCTCGGGCGGCCCTTGTCGGGTTCGGGGACCCGGTTGGGGATCTGGGCTTCGGGGACGAGGAGGAGAGGAGGGGAATGGAGCGCCTTTTAACGGCAGCGCGGGGTGCCCGGGGACACCGCGGGCAGGATCCGTACCGTCGGTTCCGAACCTAATGGCAGATCGGACGGCCCAGATTGTCCCGCCGTGTGACCGCGGGCAGCGCGGCCGCGGAGGGTCGGGATGCGGGAGGGCGACACGTGGCGGGCATCTGGGAGGTGGCGTGGCTTTTGCCCCGGGGAAAATGGTACGTCAACCGCGTGGGGTGAGGTGGTCGCTGCACGGAATTCACTGACATGTGGGCCATGCCTCGGCGAGGAACAGTGGGCCCGGTCCGGCAGTGGCGCGGGTTTGATTATCTGTGGGAGATTTGATGGGTGCGCGTGGGAGTTTCGGGAGACGTGTTTCTCGCGCAAGTTTGGGCCGCACGAATCGTGTGCTTTTCTCGCGAGTTGGTTGCCCCCGCTATTGTCCATTCTCTGTTGTGTGGGCCAGATTATTATTTATGCGTAGGCCCCTGGTAAAACTGAAAATCTGTCCTCATGAAACCACCCAGGCACCCACCATTATTTTTGTCTACATGAATATGTTCTTCAAAATGTAAATGTGGTAACTTTGTTCCATTGTATATTTGTATTTCAAAATCCAATAAAATTTTAATGTTGTGACCGCATTTTTTTAATATAAATCTAAGAATATAATTTTCTTGTGTTCCAATTCAAATATTCGGAAGACATGGAGTACTTAACCTAACAGTTTTAAAACATTAACATAGTATTTGTCCAAAACAATAATTTTCATTATGATTGTAATGAAACCTCTTTGGGTTGCACAACATGGTTTATTAGTTAATACAGTATAATATATAATAACGCATATACTTTACATACTAGTTGAATTTCTTTGGTGGTCTTAAAAAATGCCATGCTAGTTTAATTGATTTGTTTAAAGCATAATAAGATACTTACAAAGAGTTTAGGAGAATCATGAATGCATGGCTTTGAACTATGGCCATGTTTAGATCCCACCCAAAAATTTTCACCCCGTCACATCGAACATTTGAACATCTGCATGAAGTATTAAATATAGGCTAAAAAATAACTAATTGCACAGATTGCGACTAATTTGCGAGATGAATATTTTAAGCCTAATTGCTCCATGATTTGACAATGAGGTGCTATAATAAACATTTTCTAATGATGGATTAATTATGCTTAATAAATTCATCTCGTGGTTTCTTGATGGATTCTGTAATTATTTTTTTTATTAGTGCCTGAACACCCCATGCGACACCCTACATAATACCCGATGTGACACGCCAAAACTTTACACCTCTGAATCTAAACACCCCTATATATGTGTATTCCTACAGGCTACAGATCATAGGGCCTAGGATCAAAGAAATGTACTACTAGCTTGTACTAATTCTAATCAATAAAAGCACACTTTTGGTGTTAGGTGGTGCTGGATTTGTCATAAAGATGCAAGGTTCACCTTTTATAACTTGGTTTGTAAGTGTTTCTTGTTAGGTTCATAGGTTGTCTAAGTACAATTAGACAACAACTAATGTTAAGTATACATTATGACATATGATACATTTTGAAAGATGCTGATGTGGTATGTCAAATCCATTGACAAAATTTGGAACATTTCAGCCATTCATGCATGGAAATTATGATCATGTCTTCTATGTTAAATTATAATCCCTCTAGTTATAAATGCCATTTTGGATATTAACAAAACTCTCAAAAATACGACTTTAACGACTATTGCAAAATCATTTGAACACCTCAATAAAATTATAGTTTTATGAAATCATTTTCCGAGGCAAATTTGCGTGTATCTTCATTGTTCATTCTATCTAAATATTTTAAAATTTTAAGAACCTAACTTAAAATACATACATAATGACATATTCTTTTTACCAATGAGTGCAGGGAGTAACGACTAAGCACGATAATCACATATAAAACCACCATAATATACCTTGAATCGTATCACGAGTTTGCAACCATTGGAAACCAAAGCTTATGAGTAGTATTATCTAATTGGTACCTCATGACTCATGAGCAGGCACGTAAGTACGTACAATACCTCTACCAAAACAATCAATTTGATCAATTTGAAGTGATCAGTGACTCGGCGTTGTACATGTCCCAACCTCCGGGGAGCAAATTTGAATTTTGCTTTCCATCAAGGACCTAAATACAAAAACTCCTCAACTTCCCTTACCCCAGGTCTACCCACGCTATTTCAATTTCGCGGGAGGCGAAATGTATATTGTAAGAGGGAAAAAAAAGAGAAAAAGCGGGGGAAAGGTGGGGCCTAGCGCGACGCCAGCTGGGAGCCGGCAAATTGCAAAAGCGACCAGGAAACAGACCCACACAAGCAGAGCAGGGGGAGTGTGGGGCCCCGACGTGCCTCGCGCGGGACGCAATGCCAAGCGTGTAAGGGCGACGCGACGTGGAAAACGTCTTCTCCTCCTCTTTTTCTTTTTTTTTCTTCTCTCTCTCTTGAAAGGGAGAGAGCAATAAATATCAGCGCGGGAGGAAAATCCTCTCCCGCCATACGATTCTCCTCCTCCGTTGCCTTTTCGGCAAAAACGGATATGGTTTTCACTAGGGTGAAAACGGATATCCAATCCACTCCAAATATGTCCGAAACGAGGATATGATATGGGTTTTTAAAAATCTGGTGGATATGGATACGGATGCGGATAATCCGATATTTTTTGGGAATATACGATAAGCCATTTGCCTGATAAGCCAAAATTATCAACGTATGTAACCATTCTATCTATTACATATAACATAAGTTGATCCCTCCAATAGTCTAATTCATCAATTAACCTATATTTTTTTAAGTATGAGGCTTTTACTGTCTCATGTCACACTCGCGTAACTATATTTTTATATTATGGACATCATGTATTTATTTATGTTGTTTAGCACTTAATCATATAATTATTACTGTGGGTCATCTATTGATTATTGTATTATTGTTCCTTGCATTGTTACCTCGATGTTGTACTGATTCCATACACACGTAATATCCGATAAATTTAATCCGTTCCCGAACTGATTCCACACCATTTTCGACACTCGAAACAATCTGCTCCGCATCCGCATTCGTACACTATCCACACCCGCTAAAAAATGGTTTAGGATATAGTATTACCATTATCCGTCCGAATCCGCTCCGTTTTCACCCATACTTTTCGCTTCTTTGTTTTTTTAACCTTTTGAATCATCTCGCGGTGCATGTGACTGGATATGGTGAGGGGAGGGGTGAAATGGGATGGGTTGCCAAGTTAGGCAGCGGCAAAGGTGGGGGTGATGGGGGATGACATGTGGGCTCGAGCCATGGCGCAGCGTGAGCGTTGGCACAGTTACATTCGTATTTTACCCAACATTTTTGTTTTATAGTCCTTGATATATGGCTGATGAGTGGGAAAAAAAATGAAGCAATAAGACATAGTTGATAGGTAAAATTTTTATATATGTTTTATTATTAATGTTGTAAAAGTTAATGCTGAAAAATAAACTATAATAAAATAACTGCATAATCAACTTTAAAGGTAAGTTTTGAAGTTTAAATTTTGTTGTAGTTGATAAGAAGACAATGGGAGGCAACTTGATCGAATCACGTTCAAAATTGAGAAAATTCTTTCCATACCCCTGAAATTTTAGCCGTCCCTTCTATGCCCCTATATTTTCTTCACTCTCTTGCATATCTCTGAATTTTGATTTGGATCACTTCCATACCCTTTATCTGGATCGTTAGTTCACCGTTTAATAGGTGTAGAAAAGTCAGTTTACCTTTCAATATGTGAGGAATATATAGAAATTTATGGACTATATTGTTGAAAGTATAGAAATTTGTTTTGGGATCATAATATTCATATATAAGTTTGTAGTACATAGAAATTTTAATATATATAAAAAAAGTATGTGTAGCATTTTTTAAATGATAAACATAGCTTCAGAAAGCATTCCTATATAATATATACAACAGGAAAAAAATATATTGAACTACCATAAAAATGCTACATATACTCTTTTAATAAGTAAATAAATATTAATTTTTTATGTCATTATGTAAAATAAAATTTGCCATGAATAATATACTGTACAATAAAATCATGAATATAGTAGTCTTATATATCAAAATTATACACTTCCAACAATATAGCTAGTCTACAATTTTCATGTTTCCTTCATGTCTAAGGGAAAAATGGTCATTTTTATAGCAATTAAGCAGTCAACTAACGGTCAGCTAATGGAACGAGCATGAAAGAGATCAAAAACAAAACAAAATTAAGGGGTATACAAGGGAACTAGACAAAACTTGGGCGGCGTAGAGGAATTGGCTAAACTTTTAGGGTTATAGAAGGAATTTTCTCTTAAAAATATGTGCGTCATATATAGCGCATTGTAGTAGCACAAACACAATTTATTTTGCTACTGCTGGTAGACTATAGTTGTAGCTACATCAAGCACAACCTCTCAATTTTGTCGATGCCCTCAATTTTGATGGGTCATAGGGCAGAGACTGAGGACTGAGGCTCCATTTTTTTTATTAAGATGCATAATTTATCTTAGTTTTCATTAATATGTTTTTAAACTGTTAAACTGTATATTTTGTACGAAAACTTTCTATATATAATATATAATGTGCTTTAAAATAACAAATAAATTTAGTTTTCAAGTTTAAAATAATTTAAAATTATTTAATTATGGGTTAATGATTTTCATGTTTTGCATGGCTGCACTCAATCCTCATCTTAAGGTAAATCGAACGAGGCCTGATTGTCTAGATTGATACTGAATTTTGAATATGACATTAGTAATATACATCATCATTTTTTTAGAAGTGGGAGTGCTTGGTTTACTGTTCTACAAATTATTGGTATAAGGTACTTCCTCCGTCTCAAAATGTTGGTAGATAGAATTTAACCCATCCTATAACAATAAATTTGGATACATCTTAAATAGTAATGTTTTAGGACGAAGGAAGTAGTGAGCTGGTAAACCAAGCACTC